GAAAAAAAATTGTTGCCAATTGTTACTTCTAAAAAGTTCAAACCCTTCCCGCAAAGATTATTAAACTTTCAAATAAGACAATTATTCAGTAATTACATTTGTTTTATTTCATGATAATTTCATATAAGATAATTTGGTAGACACAAAGGTAACATTTTCAACATTACGTTTATGTATTTAATGTATTTGGTAATGCGTATGCATAGGTGTTCAGTGCACGTATACCTGAAAATATAACAAAAAAATTCTTCTTTATAAGGCTTATCAGTAAACAGAGTAGCATAATGCAAAACCAACATGAATGGAGTCCAGAGAGCACATTGATTTGCACGTAGTTTTTAAACATTATTATATTGTTTCATTCCGCAGAGATGGAAGGCATTAATTTGCATTATCGTCCAAGTGTTCTTTTTTTCGTTGAAAGTATGTGTACATTTTTAATTTCAATACCATCGACATTGTTAACAAGAATCTCTTCTCTAGTGTTATTTAGCGGAGAACTTAGTATTGTATTTTTACCTGCAGTGACAGCGTTGGTTGCAGATTTTATTGTAAATAACTGTATAAGCGTTATTAGTGTTAAATATGACATGCAATCAGGGTTGATTAATTCCAAAAGTTTTATGACTATTTTATTGCCTATGTAAATTAGTATCAATAAAATTTTCTTCTCTTGGGCAAAAGGTTTACAGGCAGTGCTTATTAATATTCTATATTATTATTATTCTTATTATTCTTATTATTCTTGTTATTCTTATTATTATTATTATATTATACACACAAAGACCTGAGCGAACCGTTGACGTTGATGTATGAAAAGCATGCTACGAGATGATTGCGTTTACAGGCTTTGCTTTCACGTTATTTAAATTTTGTTCTGCTAAATAAAATAAATAAATTTTTAATCTGCAGAACTGAAAATAATTGAATTCTTAATCCAGGTCCAGAGAAAATAAAATAAAACTTCATTCTCATTAGCATAATCTCCAACCACACGCACGCACGCTCACGCACACACAAACCGCAAAAACATGCACGACACGCGAGCAAAATGAGGCGCGAACAATGTGATGCATGTGGGTGTGTAGGAGGTCTTTGAAGCGTTCTGGTAGGATAGTAGTGGTAGTGGTAGTAGTGGTAGTGGTAGTAGTTGTAGTGGTTGTTGTAATGGTAATAGTATTAGTGTTACATCTTATCGCACTATTACATTTTTAATTATCTCAACATTTTTAATAAGCGAATTTTGTATGGCATAAAATGTGCGAAATATAGGACTGAGTGGGTGTTGTTGCTGCTTGGATTTTTTGGCAAAGATTGTTCATTTTTCGTTCTCGATTTAAACATAAAAAATGACATCAAGCGACGTTTTTACTGCTTCGTTTGGAGCGCTGAATAAAAATTAGAAGCAATGAAGCAAAAGATGTTGTCCTTATGTTTCCGCCTCTTCAGTCCAGTGAGGTGTAGCAGTGATTGTGTAATGGTCGCAACTGGTGCTGGCATATTTTCAGCTCATCATCGCCAATGTTTACTCTCAACTACAATACTTACTCCCACTTAATACGCCATCTACCAGCTAAACAACTCACATAATGTATTCAGTTTCAAATGCGAAGTTGTCCCGAACAAATAGTCGAACTTGGTTATAACTTTGATCCCAGCTGCGGCGCATGATGAATACAACATCGGCCAAAATAATTTTATACGAAAGTCTGAACTTGCAGAAATCACGACGGCCACTAACATTTCTCATTCCTCTTGATTGCACATGAAGCTCTTACCATCCGCAACAGAATGCTGTTTGTGAAGAGTGTAAACATCAAACTATTTGTGATTTCTATATTTGGAAGCAAGGTTGTTAAAAATTACGAATTGTAACTAAGGTTTTAAAAAGTTTTTTTTAAATTGTTCATTTATTTTATTTTTTTTTCATTTAATTTTTTCATAACATAATTATTGAGAAAGCCAAATGAATTGAAAAGTTAATGCTGATGTTAATTTATCGTTTCTTCATAAGCCTTCATTGGATTGTTGTAGAATGTTGAACGTTTAATAAAAAGTTAAAATTAAACTTTGAATATATTTTTTCGTTATTGCGTCATGTTTAAAAATGTGAAACGTCAACATTTAACTCCAAATAATATGTGGAAGTTTAGAAAAACTGGTTGATTGATGGATTCTTCAACAACGCCATTCCATGTTATTATAGTTTGCTGTTATGCATCGTTATGAACTGTGGAGGCGGTTGTATGCGTTTTGTGTGTGTGTGTGTAATGTGTGTGTGTGTGTGTGTGTGTGTAATGTGTGTGTGTGTGTAATGTGTGTAGTGTGTGAGTGGTTTGTGTTTTGAAAATAAATTTATTTGCAAGTGTTTGTTTGTGATAAATCGTGTGTATCAGAATATAAATATGAGTGTGTGTATGTGCTGAGATGACTCGCATGTTCGCCATCATTTAAACTTATTTTTCCTGTAGAAGGAGAAACTTTTTTTTTGCAATTATCATTTCATCTGAGACTGCTTGCGGACACTTCCCTCATTACGTTCAGTTGTAACGGTTACTGAATGTTTGCACGCGTCCATTAAGGTTCAACCAGTGGAATGAACTGTAAACTCCTTGCGTGCCATAACAGATGATTGCCAGGAACGTGAGAGGGTTTTAAATTTTGCACTGCGGTAAAAACTCCGCAAAGTTTGTTAGCGGGGTCCATCAGATTTTTTAATTATGCAAGATCATCCTTTGTCACAAATCAGCACATTTGCATATGGATATCATCTTGTCTGTCTCCGCATGTGTACCTCTATTTGTGCGTGTGTGCGCCTGCTGTACGTGCATTTGTGTGTGTGTGTGTACCAGTACGTGTATTTGTGCGTGTGTGTACCGGTAGGCAAGCACGCAAATTTTAATGAACGTAGTAGAGAGTTTATTTTATTTATTTCAGTTGGTTTCCTTAGTCAGTCATTCATCGATCATAATTTATTTTAATTTATGCTCGTCTCGAAACTTCGCACACCTCGAGGACCAATTTATTTTCTACGAAACTTTTTTTTCTTATATTTCCTGTCATTTGAAATTGTGTGTCTTAAGTTGATTGAATTGTTGAATTGTTTTATAATTAAAAAAAAATAACTTGGTTGTAATTTGAAATTTATCAAGTTAATTGAGAATTATTTCAATTGACTAATAAAAATAGATTTAAAGGTTGTACAACATTTATTCAAATCCTCAAATAAACACACTAACATCAACAGTTCAAATTGAAATGTAATTATTTTCGTCAAAAAAAATAAGTATCATTATTAACTTTTTGAATGTATGCAGCCAACTTGGTCCTCATCATTAATTTCAATTCATTTTAACGGTTCCATTCCATCGTCCAAAAAAATTAAACATGAAAAATTTTTATTTATCCTGATCTAAAAACAAGTGCGTCTGAACACATTGAGCCTGTCACGCGATTGGTGTTTGGGCAGGCATGAAAATGAGCACATGGGTGCATCGTACACAAAACGAATACAGGATAGGATAGAGATAGCACTACGGAAGCACAAACCCCGTCGCACCGACTCTCGCTCCACGGTGCATAATGTTTGTCCAGCACTGTATTATCGTTAAAAACGCTTCAAAAAATAAATGGAAAACCATTTTTGGTAATTTTATGACCAGTTCATCAATCCGTCATTCTTCGGCTCATCTTATCTGGCAATGTCAGTGCGGTGCAGTGCAAGGAGAAAACAAAATATAAAAAAAAACAATAATATTTTTATTATAAGAACATTTACAGTAATAAATTAATTTTAATTTTATAATTATAAAACAATAATACATTATGAACAGTGGAAAGCATTTTGTAAGTTTCGTAATAATAAATTAACCAATGCATTTATAAGTAATCATTGATGAAAAACTAATAAGTGAATGGTATTAATACAAACAAACAAACAAACTCTTACTCATATGATAATTTGAATCCAACTATCAACCAAACAAACAATTGAATTACTGCAATGTATGGAGATTATTAAAAAGACATTGCAGTGAATTACAAGCTCTGGTTCATATAGCTACGTAGAGTCGCAATAATTTTCCAACGGTATAAATCCTTCTTTATTAATAGAATAAACGCTAAACAACGTATAGGTATATCAGCTTTGTTTCTTAATAACAACAATTTGTAAATTAAAATCATAATAATAATAAAATCATATAAATAATTTTCAAAATAATAAACAATCAATCAATATTACAATCAGCATGATGGTAATTATATTTATATAGATGTCAGATGATTATGTATAATCCCATCGTAAATCTACCAAAAAACACACGCGCAAGCATTCACACACGTACACACACACACATATATATATACACACACACATATATAAATACATATATATAATAAGGGTATTATATCCGCAATGTACGCATGTGGAGGGGCGCGTAATAACAATAGCATCCAGCCAGTCTTAAATTGATGTGTCGTGTTTTCCTTTTTTGAACTCGTCGAATTTTTTTCAGGCCTATATTTTTATCCTGCACACAATTTTAGGTGAAAGTTTCTTGCGTAAGTTTTTGGAGACAAATTTAATGAAGAGAAAGTTATTTTATTTGTTATTTTTGATTTGTCCAAAAGAAAGAAATGCTGTTTATTCATCTTTCATAAAATAAACCCACCAAAATTTATCAGTTTGTACTCGGACACATGTGTGAAGAAACACACTAATGTATATACATGTTTGTGTACATATTCAATATATATATAATGCATAAAACAAAACTGGATAAACCAATTAAAGAAAATATATCCAAATGAATGTTGAAAGAAACTTCCATCATGAATTTGATGGATGATTAGCTTTAGTTACTTCCCTCCCTACACAACAATGGACACCTTGCTCCCTTTCAATTAGGTAGCGTTGATAGATTGCGATAGTCTATTGAACTTGTAAACATGTTCATTTTAGGCATTGCATGTCTAATTTATTCACGTTAACACTTTTTCTATCTGAACGGGCGCTTTCCGAAACGTGTCCATCTGACCCACGCGAGAAAGGAAACATAATGAATATTTGGTTGGTGTGCAAGGGTCCTGTGAACATGTTTTGTGATCTGTGTGTGTGTGTGAATGTGTGGTACGTATGTGTGGATGTGTGATGTGTGCGTGTTGTGGTGTATGTACGTGTTGATGTGTTCAGATGTTCCATCTTACCGTCCTGGGTGACATTTAAGAACAACTGTCGCAAGCAAATTTTTTTTGACCATTTAAGCAAGAAACGACCCTCATTACAAAGATTACAAAACAACTTGGGTTGGGTAGCATGCATCTAGCACCCAGGACGGATCTCCGGTTTAGCCCACCTGCGCAGTTGTTTCGTTTTAGAATTGTATGAATGCGTGTGAATTTTGTTAAACCTCACGGCCACATACGGCCACTTTTCAGTGTTGTAAATTTTTAATTTGGACAAGACCTGAGTTAGGACGATCAATAATTTTTTGAAATGTGTATCAAATGCACATCATCCGCAACATTTCATCGCATCGTTCACATCAACTCAATCGGTTCCACCTAATCAGAATATGCCTTCTGCAGTGTTCCTCGTCGTAAACAAAATTATTTCGTTTTTGTGAACGTTAATTTGTGTTTAATGTCTAACAGTATGTAAATATATGCTGGCGAGGCTGCTGTATATTGCTGACCGGTACTCGATAAACAAGAACAAAACATGACGAGTGTTTTTGTAGTTCGCTCGATGCGCCCCCTGAAATGTGGCAGGCTTCCTTGGCTAGTTACAGATTTATTTTGTCAAACCTTTTTTATGGCAATATTTATTCTCTTGTTCAAAAACTTCACCAAAAATGATTCCTTTGTTTTTGAACATTAAACATTAATTTAAAATAAATTATCGCTTCTCGGTTGTCAAATGAAAAGTGAATGTTTAATCTAAATCTCAAAAAATGTCTAAAAATGTAATACATAAATTGCGTTGGATGTTTGGGATAATCTTTTTAAAGAAAGTATTTTATGATCGTGTTCACCTGGTTAGGCAGCCGGTTGCATTTGTTTGCAAAAGTTCTTTCATACATTATCTATGTTCTCTATTTAGCATCAATTTTTTCAATACCGAGTTTTGCAAAATTTTGATGCTTGAAAAAATGCTTCCTGCGTTAAATCTGCGTTAAAAAACTTCAATAACAGTTAAAACTTATGGGAAAATATTAAATTACTTGCTTAATTAGTTTGCAACTACTTTTGTACTGTCGTAATATTGAAGTACTTTTGAACTAATATTGACAATATTGAAGTACTTATGTACCACTATGAAAGTACATTTGTACTGCCATTTTGTTTTCTAACTACAACTTCTGTAAAACAATTTGTGACAGGCAGTTAGCTATTTATGTTTAAGGTGGTCCGTCTCGGCAAACAACACACAGATCTCATATATTTCATACCACTCTGCTCATATGTCTCATCTGCAAATGTGAATTAATGCAACTGCCTAAGTACACAACAGCATAAATTTGCATGTTTGCAAAGTTATGCATAATATAAAAGCCATTTCCAGAAGTTGAATGTTATTTCATTAGAACTAGAACTAACTTGCTTCGATTCATCATGTAACGCCAACAATAACCAGAAAGGACATGTATGACATGAGCAAATACTGTTACTTAATTGAAATCCACAGCTCTGGTCATGTTATATACAAAGTGTGAGAATATTATTCAAATGAAGATTAAACTTCCCGCACATTTGTTTCAAATGAAAATATAAGGAGCAAATTTTTATGAATTCATTTCATTGTTATGATTAGAAGTATTTTTATAACCCAAAAAATGTTTCTTTATAATTTCTCGTTGAAGAAACTTTTTTGCAGAACCTCGAAGCAAATGATTGGAAGGTGCAGAGAAGCGTTCCATGAAATTATCTTCAGTGCAAGTTTTATTGCTTGGTCACCATGATAATTTCGACATTTTCTCCCAAGTATGAAATCTCAATCAACTCCATAAAAATGTTTAAACGATAAAAAAAAACCGCCCAAAAAACGTAAAACAATGCAAGAAAATTAAATTTATCTCAACAAATCATTTGGTAAATGGTAAATTATTTTTATTTGATCAATTTTAAAATGAAAAGTATTTAAATTCTCAACGTTTTTCAAACATTTCATGCAATAAAAATTAAAACGCATTCGTTGTTTCAAATGTATTTCATTATTTTTGATTTACCATAAATCATGTAAAAATAAAACTTATTTAGTCAGCCCATTCAATCATTCTTGATTTCATATTCCTAATAATTTTTCCGCAATAACTTGATGGCACTTCTTTATCAATCGATCACTCCATCCATCCATCACGTTTATATTAAACACGAATGCTTATTACCGGTCCATCCATCTATCCATCTATCCATCCATCTATCTATCCATCTATCCATCTATCTATCCATCCATCTATCCATCCATTCATCCATCCATTCATCCATCCAACAATTTATTGTTAGACTGCTTAGTCCCCTCATTACTTCATCACGTTTCTGCAAAATGATGACGAATTAACCTCATCACGCTGAAATGGAATAATGATGAAATGATGATCTTGATCGTTTGAAGAACAGCGAGGAAGTATCGTTCCCTGTTAAATGAAGAAGATCGAGTTCGCATGCGTTGGTCGTTGTTGAAATCACTACGTTAAACTTGCATTCATTTACTGCAAATACAACTCAGTTCAATAGTTTTTTGTCTCTCGGAGTTCAGATATTTTTTGGAAAAAAAACGAATGAAGTTTTAAAACTTCGAATAAAAAAATTCCATTTAAAAGTTTTATTACCTTTTTATATGACCCGTGCAAACTTTATTATCAATGATCGACCTTTCAAAATACACCACGGACTGAACCGTGAGACTATTACGTTCATAAACATTCCTACGCTTCAAACATAAACAAATATTGCAGAGCACGCACGCAAATAGAAGAACACACACTCACCCATACACACACACACACACATTTGAACGTACGTACAAACACACATTCACCCATACAAACACAAACACACATACACACATTTGAACGTTCGTACAAACAAATACACACACATATCCCACAAGCACATACATACATACATAAACGACTACATAAGCAAACAAATAAACACATAAACACACACACACAAGTTGGTGTTTCCTACAAAGTACACAAACTCAATCATTTCATTACACATACACACGCATACGACCACGCATACACACCACATCACACACACACACTTGTGCCTTAAAAACGACCTATCCCAATACATAAGCAAGCACATAAACAAAGTGGTGCATCTTAACATAAAAACTAATATTTCCCGCCCAGAGTATATACCACCAACCATTTATAACCAATTGTATAACAAAAAATATAACCGAATGGTTAAACCAGTGAGGAACATATTTATTTTTATCAAAAATTATGTTATTTTCTAACTAATTCTCGACATGAATTTACCTGGCTTAAGTTTGAGAGTCGGAATAAGAAAAAATTGATGGAGGCCATCATTGAAGAGATCAAGCTGCAGGTTCCTACGTGACTAAGCAGCTGTTTTTCAAGCTTTTTATTTTTTTAAATATTGGTCGTGTTTTAAGAAATTTATTAAAATATTGATCGTGTTTTTAAATTTATTTAAAAACATATTTCTTATCTAAAATTCATTCACAGAACGTGTTTATTTGCCTAACAAATAGAATAGCGTATAAAATATGTTAAATTCAGAGACAACAAATAATTTATTTATTTCAATTTTTTCAATTAATTATACTTTAATATGCAAAATTGAATTCTTGATTATTTTCCTATAGTATGATATTTAGTTTATAAAACAAACTTTTTTTAAAAATAGAAAAAACACCAAACTGTGAACCAAATAACTCGTGCCGTGAGTAGACAACACATTTTTAACTTAGTCAATTTTTTAATTTAAACGAGTTGTTCGCAATTAAAATTACATCCTTCAACTCTACAAACATTTTAAAACATTTGGTTCCAGTGAATTCATTTGCTTCAGTGGCTGGTGGCTTCATGATTTACACGTTAGCACTTTTATGCACTTCACATACACCTATTGAACTTAATAATTTAAATTACTTCCACGCATTTTTCAAACAATGGGTTGCTCGGACGTTTAACTAAAACTCCTATACACTGTAAAATGTTTAAAAAAATAATTCTCTTTTAAAAATTTTTCTTCTTTAATTTTTCTCAGTCAGATGTTCACCAACTTTTATATTTAAAATGAGCCTGGAAATACGTTTTAATTTGTACGCTTCGGAACATCCTTAAGAAAGTGAAAAAACTTGATAGTGGGAGTACGTGATAACTTGGCACATCAATATCCTACTCTAGAACCTCCTCAATGTACGTAAATAAAAAAAAAATTCGTCTATACAAGTCATAAAAGTTAGAAAAAAAGCTCATAATTGCAAGGCATAATCAGGACACAACATAAAGTCACAAAATAGGAACGCCCCTCACGGTGTTGGAGCGCCTATGACTCCATGCATAGGGCGCCGTATAAATAATGACTGACCATCATTATAAAATAAAAAAACAATATAAAAATATTCACAAATATGCAATAAAATTTTAAAAATGGATGTGCAATCATATCTTCGTCTACACTCACGCACACACTCACATAAACACACACATACATACACATACACACACACATTCTAACGCATACACGCACGCACGCACATGCACACATACTTCACATTTCGTACCTAAGCTCAATAGTCGAAAAGGGAAGAGAATGTCTCAAGCAATTATAACTCCAATCATATGGAGCCTGATGTTGCAGGCTTGCAAACGATTGAATTAAAAATATACCTTAAATCAACGAATTATGTCTATCAACCAATGATAGTTATAACAAAAAAATGTTTTATAACCTAAAAAAGAGGATCATCTATTATCTGTAATATCTTTTCCGTTCGGAATGCTTTTAAATTGACATGATTATCGTTGTTGTCTTCATCATTATCCCTGTCTTTGTGTGTGTGTGTTTGCTTGTTTATGTGCGTGCGAATAAGTGTGTATTATCAGGTGGTAACATAAAATTTCATCCTCATCACAACCATCAAGTTATATCCCGCATATGAACATTCAAAATTAATTGTAAGATAATAATTATAGATTCAAAAATTTAATTCAAAACTTGACTCTTAGACCATTTTCAGATTTATTTAGTCGGAAATATTTTTACAATACTTTTTTTCATAGCAACAAAGGAACAAATTCGCAAAAATGAATTCAAATATGTTCGGCGTGTGGACGAGCGTGCTCATATGTGTTTTTATCTGAACGTGCGCTTCGTGACTTGAAGCGTAAAGGAGTAAAATAAACGAAAAGATACTGCGAGCCGGGCAAGCGATGTAGATCATGCTTGAATTAACTCACTCGGTCAGCAACTTATAATTTCCAAATCACATTTTTGACTTCTACAACTCGTTCTGATGATTTCAAACTTTTAATAAAAAATTAATTTCAAATAAAAAACAGAATCTCAATATTGTAATTGTACTTATTAATTTTATTTATGATTTTATTTCATTCATTCAAAATCTTCTCTTTTGTTAAATATAGAGAAATGACACTTCAGTTGCATCTTGCCGACTGCCCACAAAACTTTTAGGGATACCACCATTTAGGAGCACTTCATTGCATGAAAGAAGTGTTAGAATGATGGAATGAAGTGCTGCGATAAACTATTACTAAACTTGGATAATTATTCCATTAGCAAATAAATTAAGAAAAGAATTATTAATAAGCTGAATAAAACTATTGCGTGAACATAAAATCATATATAGCTTTTAAAAATATACGAATTCTTAGCACAAATTATAAGCTGAACGATCAATCATTTGAGTTTAACTTCATTTTAGAAAAATTTTTTTCAAGATCTTTATTTATAAAATGTAATCAAACACAGCAGCAAAAGCTTCATTTCAATTGCTGACAAAGAAGACTGAGATTTTAAAAAGTAATTTCATAAAAATTGAAACCCAGCAGCAGGCTCATATTCAAATGCGCCAACAAATAAGAGAGAGACATGGACTCGATAGTAAATGTTCGAGTAGTGCAATAAGTTTCAAGTTAATGTTTGCGTTCCTGGTTCTTTGTTATACAGTCGTCGTCTGACATGCCACAAAATGTCAACCAACAAACTAATGAAACGACACTTAGACGCAGTTTTTACAAATTTGTTATCCTTTAATAATCGTCACAATAAATGAAAAAATTCAAAGAACAATCAAGAAACTAACCTTTTGAAGCAATTTGATAGTTTGGGTTCAAAAACCACAAACTTTGTTCTTTATTTCAACAGTTAAAACGCCCGAAAAGTTAAAATTTCGCAAGAAAAAAGCCATACGAATGATTAACCATTTTGTTTTGTTAAAGAAACGAAATGATTCACAGAGAGTTGCGCCACACAATACATACAAAAACAAATTATTTACACAAATGAAAAATGTCTGAAATTATATTTCAATAATAGTTGCGAATAGCGAAAGATTGAGTTGTTTCGTTATTTATAGATGCTTGCTTGTGATGCCAGCGTGACTCTCTGGATGGTGCATGTTAACACATCATGAAATATATATATAAGCATGCATTTGTGGACGTATGGATGTATATTTTGATTGGATTTATATATGTATTTATGTAATTATTTATTTTATAACACAGGTGGAATAAGCGGCAGGGGTATGGTCTCCATGGACTCTACCTGAGATTGAAGCAATCGAAAGAGATCAAAAAAGAGCAACAAAATGGTTAAGGAATGTTCTCAGATGAAAGGCGTCGATAGACTGAAGTACTTGAAACTACCAACGTTAAAGCAGAGAAGAGTACGTGGTGATTTGATCATGTTACTCAATGTGATGCACCGAGAAGATAGAAGAGGTTTTCCAGAAAAAGCCAAAGCAGATCATCGTGCAAGAGGTCATAGTTTGAGGATCCACTTTTTAGCATTTGGCAGCATTTTGAGAAAGAGTTATTGGTATATTAGAATATTAAACGCTTGAAACGGTTTACAAAAAACTGTTGTCAGTGCCTCTGGAGTGAATAGGTTTTAAAAAAATTGGATGATGCCTTAATGAATGTGGGTTTTAAAGTTGATTGAAAAGCTGGATTATGATGTTGGAACAATCACTCTGCTGAACGTGGTTAATGAATGAGAATTTTTCTATGTAGCTAAATATCGCGTATATACAATATATAAAATTCTATAATTTTGCCTACCTAGAGCTAGTTTCAAGTACTTGAGCCCATCAATACATTTCATCTGATATATAATCTATTTATACATAATGATATATAATTTATATATAATTTATTTATTTTTATAGAAGAATATGCATAAAAAGCTTGTATATGAAAACAATAAAATGAATAAGGTAATGATTTTTAAAAACATAGTAAACTTGATCATTAGTCAGAATATAATTAATCCTTCGTTATTGAGTCACTGTCATAGCTCTAGGTAGACAAGGATATTTTTACACTGCTCATAGAAGAAATTAATTATTTCTAAATCTCTATTGAAAAATAAACGATTAAGAGGGTAAATAGCGACACAACTTTTTCACAATTTGTATGCACCAACAAACTTGTTCACCCATAGAAATTGCTTTTAAAACTGCAATTAGAATTTGAAAAATATAAATTTAATTTGTTGCTCTAGCATAGTTCAATTTTGCGATACTGAAAATACATTAATGTTGATAATTAATGTTAATGAATAAATGGAAACAAAGGGAATAGAAATACCTTTAGCAAATGAAAAGAAATGTGTTCAACATGGTAAAAGGGGTGAAAATTTGGTCACGTTTATTAGAATGGAAGAAAATTGGAAGTAGACTTCTAACTTCGTCCACTTCTAGCTCAGATTCTAGAAGTTCGCATATCCACATTATGGTATAGATTTAAAACATTTTAACAGCTTTTTACAGCTTTTTGACTTCTATAATAAATATGACACCAACTGCATGGATGATCTATCAAAAACACACAATTAAAACTATTAAAATGAAGAAAATTATTCTCAAGCTTTGAAAACTTTGCCATGAAGCAAAATTAATTTAACCTCCTAATTGCAGCTCGCAATTCTACGTAATTGCATAATATATGAAGATTTGTTTTTATTTGGTTGTTTCGTTTTTTCTATTAAATAAGGGTTTTGTGTAGAATTGGAAAAAATTTAATTAAAAAAATGTAAACTACTCTCTCACAAAATATTTGTGAAAAATTTTTTTAGAGAAGTTAAAAAACACGCCGACATGTCCCCTTATATAACATTTGTGTCTCCACTTAATTAAGGATTTCTTTAATATGTTTAAATTTAAATCAATTTTTAATTTAACCGCGTTTAATTTTTAAATAACAATTTTTTCTAATATCACGAGACTAGATTGTTAAGTGTTTTTTGAGGTATGAACATTTTTTATCGTTGAAAATTTTAAAAATATCAACAAAATTTAAATTTTTAATAAGGA